ACAGTCTGGGTTACTGCAGCCTGCAGTGTTCACTGTTTGTAAAAACTTCTAATCGGTCGATAACACAGCTTTTCATATGGTAGGTGAACCATGGCCAGAATGACTTGTAGGGAGCGATATTTAGATTCTTGCACATGATATTTAGATTGATCCCTTATCTCCTGTTCTAACATTTCAACGCGTTTGCACACACCAAGAATAATAAGACTAAATGGGCTATCAGGGCGAGTATCCCAGGTTAGAATGGTTACTGGAATGCAGCTATGCCAGGCTTTTCAAACCTGGACCGCATGATTCCAGGCAGGAGATTTCCAACAGATCCTTAAAAGTCACTAATATGGTCAGACAGTGGAGTACTCATTGCTTATCATATATATATGTGCGTCACTCCGCCAGAGATCCCCCCAAGCAACCACTTATTTTCTCGAGGGTACCAAGCACTAATTCGTGATATCCACGAGTTTCCAGCAAAGCCAACAACATATTTTGCCCATCAGACATTATTTTTTTCCCGTGGTAAAAATTATGTCGCTCAGCTGTAAGGTGAGTGTTGTTTCTATGGTCGCGAAGGCACACCCCAAGCATCTTTTGTTTCATCGCTTTCTTTCTTCACATGTGCATATATATATGCGGAAGCAGCCACTGTATTTCCCTGTGCTACAAATTTGCGTATAAAGTGTGCAGGGCAATGAACACTCAGTGGGCTGCTTTAAATCGAAGTTTTCACGTATTTTTTCAGTCTAAAATTTTTACAGCAGTGAGCGGAAGCATTTTCCGAGGCGTCCTGAGAAATTACGAATTTGGTGGAACAGAGGCGGAGTTCGAAAAGCGACGAAAGTCGAAGCTGGCGAGCGTTGGCTCGGAGAAAGTCAGGTGGATTTTCAACTGAAACGAGAGCGGTGATACGGGTATGGGAAAAAAGTTGGTTGGCCAATGTTTTGTGTGCGTTAGCCTGTGAAAACTTATTGGATTTCCCCGAACAACTCGAGTGCGGACTGCCTTCATCATCTCCAAACTTCAGAGAAGGCGATGCCAAAGCAAAGTGCGAGAAAGTGCAGGAAAGGGCGATGAAGACACCTCGAGCGATGAAGACGTCGATGGCTTCATTTCTTCTTATGAGTGACTGGAGGCTGCCAGAATGCACCGAAAAGCATCGAGAGGCAGTGAAGGATGGGCGCAGGAAATGATGGATGCGCTTTCCTGTGGAAAACAGTAATGAAGATTGGAATCAAAAAACCGTGCTACAATGATTACGAACAGTAGCGAAGAAATGCCGGAGATGACGACTACTACATGGGTACAGTAGTGAATTCGATTTTGAAAATGATGGACGATGAAATGCAACGGAAGTAACGATGACGA